GGAGTCTCACTCTGTCGCCCAGGCTGGAGGGCAGTGGCCGCTCCTGGCCACCGCAGCCTCCACCTGCCGGGCTCCGGTGATCCTCCCGCCTCAGCCTTCTGAGTAGCTGGAACTACAGGCGCACACTACCACGCCTGGCTCATTTTTTATTTACTGTAGAGACGGGGGCTCACCACGGTGCCCAGGCTGGGCTCGAACCTGCGGTCTCAGGCAACTCACTCGCCTGGTCTCCCAGAGTGCTGAGGTGACTGGCTGAGTGGGCATGGTCCGCCTGCTCGTGTTTCATTGGTCAGAGGCAATCACGTGTCCGGGCTTCTTACCTGAAGGAGAAACAGATCAGATGGGTGGGGTGGCCGGCACATGCAGCCTCTTCTCTGCCGCGCCTGAGCCAGGTGGTGGCCCAAAGCCCACAGGCCTGTGGGTCCCCGCAACCAGGGAAGCCCCCGTCCCGTCCAGGCCTCCCACAAGGCCGATGACAGAGGGGCTCCCCCGAATGCCGCCTTCCTGGCGGGGACATTGGGGAACCCTGGCAGGAGCCTCTGCTCTCAGCCTCCCACCTCTGCCCCAGATGGAGGCTGTCAAGCCCGGGGTCGACCAGAAGCTGCTGGAAGGTCAGGAGATGCTGCACCAGATGTGGCTCAGCTGGAGCCAGAAACAACTCCCGGGCACAGAGAAGGACCCGGCCCAGCCTGAGGTACCCACGGGAGGGAGTGGGGGCGTGACAGGGCGCTTGACAAGGCTGGGGGTGGCTCCACTTCACTTCTCGCGCCTCTGCCCTGTGGGCCCACTTGCTTGGAATGCACCTCCCGGCCGTGCACCTGTTCACGGCTTTCGTTGGGGAGCTGCTGACACCTCTTCCAGGAAGCCCCGGTGGATTTCTGCTCTTGGGCTTGGGTGTTGCTGTGTATCACTGCTGGATGCTGTTTCCGCGTCTCCTTTACCTGAAGTCTCAAATGTTTCCTGCCCTAATTGCAGTGCCCCTCTGATCCTTCCTAGTCACCCACTCCAGGCCGAGCTTCCAGTTAGCACTCTCTGGTCCCTTCTGCTCTGTTCTAATCATTGGCCTCCTGTGCTGGGCTCAGCCATTCTGCCACGTGTGTAAGCATTTATGCAATCTATGCCTGACACAGTTCTCACACCTTCATCTTTTTTTTAGAGAAAGAGACAGGGTCTGCAGCCCCCTGGACTCAAGTGATCCTCCCACCTCTTCCTCCAAGTAGCTAGGACAACAGACATGCACCACCATGTCCAGCTTTTTTTTTTTTCCTGGGATAAAGACAAGATCTTGAGGCCGAGCTCGGTGGCTCAGTCTGTAATCCCAGCACTTTGGGAGGCCGCGGTGAGTGAATTGCCTGAGCCTGTGGGTTCGAGACCCACATGGGCAACCTGGTGAGACCTCATCTCTACAATAAATCAAAAAAATTAGTCGGGGGTGGTAGCACATGCCTGTAGTTCCAGCTACTTGGAAGGCTGAGATGGAAGGATCGCCGGAGCCCAGCAGGTCGAGGCTGCGGTGGCTGGGAGTGTGACACTGTTCTCCAGCCTGGGCAGCGGAGTGAGACTCCAACTCAAAAAAACAAACGAGATCTTGCTATGTTGCCCAGGCTGGCCTCAAACTCCTGGGCTCCAGTGGTCCTCCTGCCTCAGCCTCCCAAAGTCACTGCACTTGGCCACCCCTCATTCTGAAGGATACTCCCTCAGTCTTAGCCCTTCCCTCACACCGTAGCTCCTCAGCTTCGCTGCCGTGGGCCTCAGTTTCCCTGTCCATAGATGGGATATAGGACCTTTTGAAGGGTGGCCAAATTTGGGGGGTGATATGTACTTGCATGTGAACATTCATGGCAGCACAAGTTACAATAGCGATTAGGCGGAAGATGGCCCACATCCAGTGACAAATGAATGTGGCCCCGTGGGACACACTGGCGTACCACTCAACCATAAGCAGGAAGGAGGCTTGACACGGGACACAGTGTGGACGGGCCTCGAGGATTTCACACTCTGTGAAACCCAGACACCCAAGGCCACACAGGGTCAGACTCCACTTCTATGAAGTGTCCAGAACAGGCCAGTCCACAGAGTCGGGGTATGGATTCGTGGGTGCCAGGGTGAGGGCACTGGGAATGGTAGCTGATGGGGACAGGGTTTCATTTGAGGGTGATGAAAATTTCCTGGAATTGCATAAAAGCAGTAGTTGCATAATCTCGTGAATGTACTAAAAAAAACCCACCGAATTGTACAGTTAAAAGGGTGATTGTGGCTGGGCTCAGTGGTTTTAGCCTGTCATCTAAGCACTTTGGGGGACCGAGGCAAGAGGACTGCCTGGGCGACTTGGTGAGACCTCATCTCTACAATTAAAAAAAAGAGCCAGGCTCGGTGGCTCAGCCTGTCATCCCGTGCTTTGGGAGGCTGAGGTGAGTGGATTGCCTGAACCCGCAGGTTTGGGACCCGCCTGGGCAACTTGGCGAGACCTTGTCTCTACAATAAATTAAAAAAAAAAATTAGCCGGGCGTGGTAGCGCATGCCTGTAGTTCCAGCTACTTGGAAGGCAGAGGCAGAAGGATTGCTGGAGCCCAGCAGGTTGACACTGGGATGGCCGTGAGCATGTCACTGCCCTCCAGCCTGGGCAACAGAGTGAGACTCCAACTCAAAAAAAAAAAGGGTGATTGTTATGGTGTGTAAGTTACATGTCAACTTTTTAAAAGGTGAAATGAGCTGGCCACAGTGGCACACACCTGTAAGACCAGAAACTCAGGGAGGCTGAGGTGAGAGGGCTGCTTGAGCCCAGGAGTTCAAGACCAACCTGGGCAATGTAAGGAGACCTCATCTCTACAGAAAATACAAAAATTAGCTGGGCATGGTGGCACCTGTGTTCCCAGCTACTTGGGAGGCTGAGGTGGGAGGATTGCTTAAGCCCAGGAGTTGGAGGCTACAGTGGGCTGTGATTGTGCCACTGCACTTCAGCCTGCTAGACAAAGCCAGACCCTACCTCAAAAAAAAAAAGGTGAACAGAGTTCATATGTAAAGTGTCTAGTAAGGGCTACAAACATGGTATTTTAAAGATACCACAAGGCTCTCTATAAGTACAAGCTGTTTGGCGCCAGCCCCAGGCCACCTCCCACCTAAATCTATCTCCTGTTGCCCGCGCTGCTGACTGCAGCAGCTGGGACCACCTTTCAAAGGTGCAAAGCAGATCTTGTTACCATGTGGGTGCCTTCTGGCCACCAGCCACCTGGTTCAAGTTCAGAGTCCCAAGCTGGTGGGCTCCTGTGCTTAACTCATTCATTCATGGCCAGGGAAATTGTCAGGGAACACACGTATTTTCATCTTAATTATTTAGAGTCAGAGTCTCCCTCTGTCGCCCAGGCTGGAGGGCAGTGGCACGCTCACGGCCACCCCAGCGTCGACCTGCTGGGCTCAGGCCATCCCTCCACCTCAGCCTTCCAAGTAGCTGGAACCACAGGCATGAGCCACCACAGCCGACTAATTTTTTTATTTATTGTAGAGACAAAGTCTTGCCAAGTTGCTCAGACTGGTCTCGAACCCCTGAGCTCAGACAGTCCTCCCGCCTCCACCTCCCAAAGTGCTGGGATTACAGGCTTGAGCCACCACGCTGGCCTATTTGTTTTTTGAGTGAGGATCTCATTCTGTCGCCCAGGCTTGAGTGCAGCGGCTCGATCACAGTTCATTGCAGCATCGACCTCCTGAGCTCAAGCAGTCCTCCCACCTCAGCCTCCCGAGTTGCTGGAACTACTGGCATGGCTACTATGCCCAGCTAATTTTTTTTAATAGAGACGTCGTCTTGCCCTGTTTCCCAAGCTAGTCTCAAACTCCTGGGCTCAGACTATCCTCCCGTCTTGGCCTCCCAAAGTGCTGGGATGACAGGTGTGAGCCACCACACCCGGCCTCAAAGACCTCATTCCTCATTTAAACTGTGTTCCACACACACACTCTCACACACACACACACACACACACACACACACACCCCTCTACTCCCCCCACCCCACCCCTATGCTTTCATTCTGCCTGGAAAGTTCTTCCACACCTTCCCAGCCTGGCTGATACTTTTAGTTTCTTTAGCAGTTTTTTTGAGATGTGATTTGCATACTGTCCAAATCACCCGTTTAAAGTGCACAATAGCTGGGCTCGGTGGCTCAGCTTGTAATCCTGCGCCTTTGGGAGGCTGAGGTGAGTGGATTGCCTGAGCCCGCGGGTTCGAGACCCGCCTGGGCAAATTGGCGAGACCTCGTCTCTACAATAAATAGAAAAATGAGCCAGGCGTGGTGGTGTGCACCTGTAGTTCCGGCTACTTGGAAGGCTGAGGTGGAAGGATCACCGGAGCCCAGCAGGTCGAGGCTGTGGTGGCCAGGAGCGGCCACTGCACTCCAGTCTGGGCGACAGAGTGAGACTCCAACTCAAAAAAAAAAAGAGAGAAATGACTGGTGTGTATTTCACATGGTTCGAGGCATAAAGAGAACGCCCCCTCCTCCCACCAACACCCCGCCCCCATGGTTGGCAGGAGGACCCCTGCGACCTGGATCCCCTGCTTGGGCTCAGTTCCCCCACCTGAAGGCTCCCCCTCCGCAGCAGGTCGAGTCGCGGGCGCTGGCCATGTTCCGGGACATCGCCCGCCAGCTGCAGGCCACCTGCGCCTCGCTGGGCGCCAGCCTCCAGGGGCTGCCGGCCCACGTGAAGGACCAGGCGCAGCAGGCTGGCCGCCAGGCGGAGGCCCTCCAGGCCACCTTCTCCGGGGTCCACTCCTTCCAGGACCTGTCCAGCAGCATCCTGACCCAGAGCCGCGAGCAGGTGGCCAAGGCTCGGGAGGCCCTGGACCGCATGGTGGAGCACGTGGCCCAGAACACGCCTGTCATGTGGCTCGTGGGCCCCTTCGCCCCTGGGATCGCCGAGAAGGCCCTGGAGGAGAAGAAGTAGCACTCCGTCCCTCCCGGGGGCTCCCCTCCCCAGCCCCCCCAAGGTGCCAAGTCGGGAAACAGGCCCCCAAAACGGGTCCCTCTCCCCACCCCAAGCTTGGAGGAAGTATATTCTGAGCTGCGCTCCATCACGCAGTAGAGAGCAGCATCCAGAAAAAAATTCTCTTCAGAAGGGCCCAAAAGAGATTTTTTTTTTTCCTCTTAAAAGCCAGGGATATCGTTGTTAGATTCCACTTCCCCTTCTGTACCAGGGTTCCGGGGTCTCAGCCCTCAGGGGACAGACTTGGCCAGCTGGTCTGAGAAGTGGCCTCCCAGGGACAGGGTGGGCCGCCAAGTCTCTGAGTCATCTCAGAGCAGAGAGGGGCTGAGGCCCACCTGCCCCGCCTTGTCCTGGGACCTTGGAGTTCGATATTGCCTTAATAAATGTCGCCACAGCTACGTACTGGCCATGTGTGTATGTGTGTTTGTGTGTGTCTTAGTCCATTCCTGCTGCTGTAACAAAAATGTCTTAGCCAGATAATTGATAAGCAACAGAAATGTGCTGCCCGTAGTTCTGGAGACTGGGAAATCCAAGGTCAGCGTGCCTTCATAGAGCATACTTACTACTGTGTCCTTACATGGTGTGGGGTGGATCAGACAGCCCTCTTAACCTCTTTTTCTTTTTCTTTTTTCTTAGTTGGAGTCTCACTCCTGTCACCCAGGCTGCAGTGCAGTGGCACGCTCACAGCCACTGCAGCCTCAACCTGGTGGGCTCAGGTGATCCTCCTGCCTCAGCCTCCAGCCTGGGCAACGGAGTGAGACTCCAACTCAAAAAAAAAAAAGTGAAATGCAATAAATAATAAAATAACATTCAATTAAATAATAAAATGCAAAGGCAGGTATAGTGGCTCATGCCTCTAATCCCAGCATTTTGAGAGGCTGAGGTGGGAGGATTGCCTGAGTCTAGGGGTTTGAGACCAACTTAGGGGACATAAAGAGGTCTTATTTCTACAACAAAAAAATTAGCTGGATGTGGTGGCGCATGCCTGTAGTCCTAGGTACTCGGGAGGCTGAGGTTGGAGGATTGCTTGAACCTGGGAAGTCGAGGCTGTAGTGGTCATGATTGTGCTACTGCATTCCATCCTTGACAGCAGACTGAGACTCTGACTCAAAAATAAACGAAATAAGTAATAAAAATAAAAAGCAACATGTCAGCCACACACTTGTAGTCCCAGCTATTCAGGAGGTTGAGGTGGGAGGATCACATTAGTCCAGGAGGTTCAGGGCTGCAGTGAGTTATGATTGGGCCTCTGCACTCCAGCCTGGGTGACAGAGCAAGACCCTGTCTCTAAATGAAAACAAAACAGGTGTAAACACATCATGGTGAGAGAAATTGGACATGCAGTTGCCTGCTGCATAATGACAGAGAAAGAAAAAATTCAAGGAGGCACTCAGGGGCTGTGACCACATGTAAGTGTTCACTGCACTGTCCAGTAAAGATGTATACAGTTGGCCGGGCTTGGTGGCTCAGCCTGTCATCCCGCACCTTGGGAGGCCGAGGTGAGTGGATTGCCTGAGCCCGCGGGTTCGAGACCCGCCTGAGCAACTTGGCGAGACCTCGTCTCTACAATAAATCAAAAATAAGCCGGGCGTGGTAGTGTGCGCCTGTTGTTCCAGCTCCTTGGAAGGCTGAGGTGGGAGGATCGCCGGAGTCCAGCAGGTTGAGGCTGCAGTGGCTGGGAGCGTGCCACTGAACTCCGGTCTGGGTGACAGAGTGAGACTCCAACTCAAAAAAAAAAAAAAAGTATACACTTGAGGCTGGGCTCAGTGGCTCACACCTATAATCCTAGCACTTTGGAAAGTTGAGGTGAGAGGATTGCCTGAGTCCACAGGTTCAAGACCAGCCTGGGCAACTTGGTGAGACCTCATCTCTACAATAAATAAATAAATAGAAATTAGCTGGGTGTGGTGGCGTGTGCCTGTAGTTCCAGCTACTTGGAAGGCTGAAGCAGAAGGATCGCTGGAGCCTAGCAGGTCGAGGCTGCAGTGGCCGTGAGCAGTGTGCTGCCACTGCACTGGCAACAGAGTGAGACTCTGACAAAAAAAAAAAGATTGATACACTTGAGGCCCAGTGTGGTGGTTCATACCTGTCATCCCAGCACTTTGGGAAATGGAAGCAAGAGGATTGCCTGAGCCCAGGGTTTTGAGACCCACCTGGGCAACTTGGCGAGACCTCATCTCTACAATAAAAATCAAAAATGAGCCGGGCGTGGTAGCACGCGCCTATAGTTCCAGCTACTTGGAAGGCTGAGGCGGAAGGATCGCCGGAGCCCAGCAGGTCGAGGCTGCGGTGGCCGGGAGCGGCCACTGCACTCCAGTCTGGGTGACAGAGTGAGACTCCAACTCAAAAAAAAAAAAAAAAAGAAACAAATGGGGGCAGCTGTCTGTATACACTTGTGTGGTTATGAATTCCACCTCAGTATAAATTAAGAAAGAGAAAGTCCCATGTGGTTGATGAGGGGGCAAAGCGGCGTGAAAATTATTTCGAGGCCAGGTGTTGCGAGTGGCCACGGAGCCCCACTGAGCTTTAGGGATCAGGGAGGGCTGTGGACTCTGAGACCACTAGGATGCGTTCAAGTGCTGTTAACCCCATTCCCTCTCTCCTTTTCCATTTGGCACTGCAACCAGGAAGGGCTCCTGCTGGCTCTAACAAAAAACTCTGAGACCAAAATGTACACAGTTAAACTTGGGAGTCTATTGTTCCCATTTTCCACGGTTTATGGTTTTTGCTCTTTTTTTTTTGAGTTGGAGTCTCACTCTGTCACCCAGACTGGAGTGCAGTGGCCGCTCCTGGCCACCGCAGCCTCGACCTGCTGGGCTCCGGCGATCCTTCCGTCTCAGCCTTCCGAGTAGCCAGAATTACAGGCGTGTGCTACCATGCCTGGCTGATTTACTTATCGTAGAGATGAGGTCTCGCCAAGTTGCCCAGGCAGGTCTCAAACCCACGGGCTCAGGCAATCCACTCACCTCAGCCTCCCAAAGGCGCGGGATGACAGGCTGAGCCACTGAGCCCGGCTGGTTTTTGCTCTTAAACAATTTAAGTTTAACCTTGAGTCACATTAAAGAGCCTTAGTACAAGTCACAGATCCTCTTGATGTGATTTTAGAAATTTATAGATACAGGTTTTAGAATATAGTTTATATAAATTTAAAAAATTTAAGTAACCATTTTGTTATAAAAGTGTGATTAGTTCAGTTTGATTGAGGGGGGCCAACAGAGTTTAAATTAGGTTTGCTGGTGCTAAGAGAGTATAACCATAGCAACAACTGTTTTATAAAGACTAACTCAAATTAACATAACATAGTAAAAGGTAATATATTATTTATGTTGGTTTCGGGTGTAACCATTAAACGATGTTATATAGCTGTAAACAATTTAGGGTGCATAAAAACTGGATAAAAAACAAAAAGACAATTTGTGGTTATTCTTTCTCATATTTAAAAAATACATCTGCTTGAGAGTAGGGGGTGTCCTGTGTACACCTAGATCTGTTCATGTTAAAAGACACATACTACTTTTTATACAACCATAACAACAGGAGTTCCCATGATGATAACTTTACAGAGTTTGGGGATAAAAGCCCTGGAATTACGCCCAATAAATGGCTTCCAGTCACTTGAGCAGGAGTCCAGTCTCTTTCTTTCTCCCCCCCTCTCTTTCTCTTTATATCTATCCCTCCAGTTAAATCGCCGACGCTGTCTCACCTATCAGAGACCCCCGATCTCCACAGGGACAAGTCCCCCACAGTCAGGTGCAGTGGCTCATGCCTGTAATTCCAGCACTTTGGGAGGCCGAGGTGAGTGGATTGCCTGAGCCCACGGGTTCAAGACCCGCCTGGGCAACTTGACGAGACCTCATCTCTACAATAAATAAAAAAAAATCAGCCGGGTGTGGTAGCGCATGCCTGTAACTCTGGCTACTCAGAAGGCTGAGGCGGAAGGATCGCCAGACCCAGCAGGTCGAGGCTGCGGTGGCCGGGAGCGGCCACTGCACTCCAGTCTGGGTGACAGAGTGAGACTCCAACTCAAAACAAAATAATAATACATTTTTGTTTTTTGAGTTGAAGTCTCACTCTGTTGCACGTGTAAGTTCTTGTGAAATCTATGCCTCACGCAGTACTCACGCTTTCTTTTTTTCGAGAGAGAGGCAGGGTCTGCAGCCTTGACCCCCTGGGCTCAAGTGCTCCTCCCGCCTCAGCTCCTGAGTGGCTGGGACTACAGGCACACACCAGCATGCCCGGCTCATTTTTTAATTTTTTGTAGAGACGAGGTCTTGCTATGTCCCAGCTACTCAGGAGGCTGAGGCAGGAGGATCGCTTGAGCCCAGAAGGCTGAGGCTACAGTGAGCCATGATGGTGCCCAACTCAAAGAAAAAAAAATTAGCTGGGTGTGGTGGCTTGTGCCTGTAGTTCTAGCTCCCTGGAAGGCTAAGGCAGAAGGATCACCTGAGTCCAGGCTGTGGTGGTCGTGAGCATGCCACTGCATTCCAGCTTGGGCAAGACAGTGAGATTCCAACTCCAAAAAAATTTTTAAAAAGGGAAAAAAAAGAAGATGTTGATATCTTCATCTTCACGGACTCTGATATCGATCATTTCCTCAGTTATGAACAAAGGCACCAGCAGGACCTGGGACTCTGTCCCCAATAAAAGCCACAGATCCTTCGAGGTTATCCGCTGTAGAGCGCTCTGAATACCCTGACATCTGACACTACTGCAAAATCAAGGTGAGGAAAGATCAAAGTACGTCCCCGAGTTCTTGTTTGAGGATGGCTCTATTTCTTTTTCTTTTTTTTTTTCTGCGTCGGAGTCTCACTCTGTCGCCCAGACGGGAGTGCAGCGGCCGCTCCCGGCCTCCGCAGCCTCGACCTGCCGGCCTCCGGCGATCCTTCCGCCCCAGCCTTCCGAGGAGCCGGAACAACAGGCGCGCTCCCACACCCGGCTAATTTTTGATTGACTGTAGAGACGAGGTCTCGCCAAGTGGCCCGGGCGGGTCTCGAACCCGCGGGCTCAGGCCCTCCACTCGCCTCGGCCTCCCAAAGGCGCGGGATGACAGGCTGAGCCACCCAGCCCGGCTTCA